CTCTAATCTCCCCTTATTTCTGTGGCAGGAAATATGTGAAATGCTGACATGATGTAGGGAGAATGAAATTTCCTTGTCTTGGAAAGAATGTGGAGAGACTAAATAAACTCAAGGATGACGCTCTGAAAGGGTGCAGAAGCAGAGGGGCTTGGTGTAAACGAGTCTTTGTAGATCACAGGGCAAGCTGAGAAAGTAGTTGAAAAGGCACAAGGGCTGCTATTCTTTATGAATAGAGTCAAAGAATACCAATGTGAGGAGGTTTTTGGTGAACCTTTATGAAACACCCTTCTCAACTGACCTCAAATAGAACTTTGTGTCCTATTCTGAGCAGTACAGTTTAAGAAGCGTGTGGAAGTTTTGGAGAGGACGTAGAAAGGATTTACCACCATGGTTCCAAGATGAGAGGAGGCGGTAGCGCAGTGGTATTGACACCTTTAAAATTCTAGGGCGTAACCCATCGAGTCCGGGGGAATCAATGGCTTTTAACCCCTTAGTTTGCCAGTACTTTTCTGCCAATGTTAGTTATGGGTGTTTGCTTCATCTCTCTCTCCTCCCCCCATCTTCAGCACCTTGTACACTTAGTATCTTAGAAAAGCTATAGAACTAGTCCTCCACCACAAAAACTGATGCAAAGTATTTATTCAGCTCTTCTCCCATTTCCTGGATCCCTATTTAATTTTCCCAACCTCACTCCCTAAGATGCCTATGCTCACTGACTTCTTTCTTCCTTTTAATACATTTAAACAAGCTCTTACTGTCTGTTTTTATACTATTTGTTAGTTTGTACTCAATTTATTTTCTCCTGTTTTCTTTTGTTGGCTTTTAAAATGTCCCCAATTCTCTGATTTACCACTAATAACATATTGTATGTTTAGAGTCATACAGCTTACAGGAAGGAAACAGACCCCTCAGTCCTTCTTGTCCATGCCAACCAGATATCCTAAATTAATCTAGTCCCATTTGCCAGCATTTGGCCCATATCCCTCTAAACCTTTCCTATTCATATACCCATACAGATACCTTTTAATTGTAATTGTACCAGCTTCCACCACTTCCTTTGGCAGCACGTTCTGTACATGTACCACCCTCTGTGTGAAAAAGTTGCCCCTTAGGTCCCTTTTAAATCATTCCCCTCTCACCTCAAACTTTTACCCTCTAGTTTTGGACTCCCCCACTCCGGGGAAAAGACCTTGTCTATTCACCCTATCTATGCCCCTCATGATTTTATAAACCACTGTAAGGTCACCCCTTAACCTCCGATGCTCCAGGGAAAATAGCCCCAGCCTATTCAGCTTCTCCCTATAGCTCAAACCCTCCAATCCTGGCAACATCCTTGTAAATCCTTTTTGCACTTTTTCAAGTTTAACAACATCCTTCCTATGGCATGGGAGACCAGAACTGAACAGAATATTCCAAAAGTGCCGTAACCAATGACCTGTACAGCCACAACATGACCTCCCAACTCCTTTACTCAATGTAGTGACCAATATAGGCACAAGTGCCAAATGCCTTCTTCACTATCCTGTCTACCTGTGACTCCACCTTCAAGGAACTGTGAACCTACACCCCAAGGTCTCTTTGTTCGGCAACACTCCCTAGGACCCTAGCATTAAGTGTATAAGTCCTGCCATGATTTGCCTTACCAAACTGCAGCACCTCACATTTATCTAAATTAAACCCTATCTGCCACTCCTCAGCCCATCAGCCCATCTGATTGAGGTCCCGTTGTGTTTTGAGATAACCTTTTTTTGTCCACTACACCGCAAATTTTTGTGTCATCTGCAAACTTACTATCCATTCCTCCTATATCCAAATCCAGATCATTTATATAAATGACAAAAAGCAGTGGACTCAGCATTGATCCTTGCGGCGCACCACTGTTCACAGGCCTCCAGCCTGAAAAACAAAGCTCCACCATAACGCTCTGTCTCCTACCTTCAAGCCAATTTTGTACCCAAATGGCTGCTTTCCCTGGATACCATGCGATCTAAACTTGCTAACCAGTCTACCATGTGGAACCTTGTCAAATGCCTTGCTGAAATCCATATAGACAACATCCACTCCTCTGCCTTCATCAATCTTCTTTGTCACTTCTTCAAAAAACTCAATTAAGTTAGTGAGACACACGTTTTATTTAAACTTCAATTTGATAGTATCCTCAATTTCCTTGTTAACCACGGTCAGTTTATCCACTGCCTAGAATCCTTGTTTCTTATTGGGATATATCTTTGCTGCAAGTCACTAAGTACTTTCTTAAACATTTACATTCTTCTTCAACCATCTTTTCTGCTAAAGTCCCTTCCTATTCCACTCCAGGCAACTCATATAATTACCCTTATTCAAGTTTGCCACCGTTATTTTTGACCCACATTTCTCGCACGCAAACTGATTGCTAAATTCTACTATGTTATGATAATTGTTCCCTAGGGCTGTGGTTTTCAACTAGTGTGCATACTAGGTGAGCTGTGTGAACTGTTCAAAGGTGCCATGAAATAAAATCGATGTTAAACACTGTTCCATCTTAAAAATATTCTAT